TTTACTGTTAAAATATACTAAATGCTTTTTATACAATGTATTTATTTAGAGTACATGATCTTGATACTTTTAAAGAAATTACTTACCAGGAAGCTCACGATGCTGAGATACTGACAATTGAATTTACCGATTCACGTGCACCTGGTGAGTAGGATGCAATTTAGTTTTAAGTAGCATCGTTGTTAGCTTTTATCGATCCTATGCATTTATAATTTTGGCAACGTTGTTGTTAGCTTTTTATACATTTTTATGTATTATTTTTTTTAGGTGCTCCGTATTTAATTGCTACTGCAAGTCGTGACAGAATCTTACATGTCTTTGATGTCAACAATAATTTTCAATTGGTTCAAACTTTGGATGATCATTCTTCGTCTATAACTGCCATAAAGTTCACAAATGATGGTGGAAAGTTGATCAGTTGTGGTGCAGACAAGAGTATCATATTTAGAAGTCGACAAAATGTAGGTTAAAGCAACATACAGTCAGACCCCCCTAAATGCTACCCCCTAAGTGCACATCCTATGTAACACCTCCCTAAATGCACGTCTTCTTTTGGGCCCAAATAATATTACATCTATAGATTTTTACCTCCCTAAATGCAATACCTCTCTAAGTGCACGTTTGACTAAATTTTTATATATGGTCCCATCATATTGCATTTAGAGAGGTCTGACTGTATATCTTTTTCTGTCTTCTCGTTGATATCAACCTAATTAAATCATTCATCATACTTTTTTTATTAGTCTGGTGATTTCCCGTGTTATGTGACATATCATAATATTTCGGGAAGAGCAACTGTATTTGATATGGACATTGATATATCAAATCGATACATTGCTACAGTATCAGGAGAGCGGCGATTAAATGTTTATCATATTGATACTGGTAAAAATGTGCGTTCATACAAATCAGATACACCTGAGGAAGTCAATACTGCTGATCAAGGAAGTTTACTTAGAATTTCTTTGGACCCTGGTGGAGTACATGCTGTAACTGGCGGTTCGGATAAAAGTATTCGACTTTTCGATTTCACTAATGGATCGATATTGGGCAAAGTTCTTGGACATTCTGAATTAATTACCGGAGTAAAATTTACTTCTGATTGTGAACGTGTTATTTCGACCTCTGCTGATGGTTGTATATTTGTTTGGAAAATATCGGATGAATTGGTTTCAAAAATGCGACAAAAATGGCTTGATAGAAGTGGCCTTAGTGGTTCACTTGAAAAGACATCACCTTTGATGAGGGACTATCTTCTTCCACAATCATCAACTCCACCACCAACTTTTCCTAAATCTATCATGCCTGCACAAAAACCACAATCACTTATGGTAGATCTTCAACAATCATCAAATGATGATGGCCAAGAATCAGGTTTCTCTGTTCGTCGAGTAACAAATGGTTTAAAAATCAAAAAATCCTATTCATCTTTATCTGCTATGGAACTTCAAAGTGAAGAGAATGCAAAAAAATTTGCTGCTAAAAGGCCTGCATCTTTTGCAAATGATAGTTCATCACAACAAAAATCTACTCAATTAACGCCTAGGTTTTCATTAGACCATAGTAAACTACCTATGGCTACTTCACCACCACCTTCTAATCCGACAGGAATATCTACACCACCTTCTAATCCGATGGGAATATCTACACCACCCAACACTCCAACTAATCCAAGCTCTGCAAGGAGAGAATCCTGGAAAATCAGTATACCTAGTTGGGCAAAAAAGGCTTTTAAAGAAGAAAAAGACGAAAAACGTATTAAGGATAAAACTTCAAATAATAACAC